TGTGTTCGGTGTTTACATAGTCATAGCACAAACTATTCTGTGGCTCTGGAAAAATCAGTCAAAATTCTCAAAAAACTATGGGACTCTGTTCTGAAAATGGCTGCCAGTCAATGAGTTAAGGGAGACCAGAGGCTGCTCACAGGGGCTTTAACTGGCCATCAGGTTAATTCTGTCCCCACATCTGCTAAAAACCAATTTAAATATAAGGTCTCAATGAGGAATTTAGTCCAGAGCACTGTCTGCCGAACATCTGGAGCCTGGAATCAGACTTTATTTGACATGTCATGCAGTGTTTCCAGTCGCTGATTCAGAAACCCTCATGAAATGGGCATCCCCCCCGCCCTGAAATGTGTATTCTGGTCCTACCTTTGCTTGCCTAACAGCAGTCAGGCTGTTCTGCATCTTCATGGCTTCGATCACACAGATCTCCTGACCCTCTGCCACCTGCAGGCACAAAGGAATTACATGTTACATCTCAGTACCAGGAAGCAAAAGCAGGAAACAGCACCACAACTCAGGAGGATTTCCTCCTCCAAGCGTGTGTTTTCTGTTCAGACAGCGGGGAGAGTGACCCTGATATGGATAATAATGATAATAATAATGCATTTTATTCTTAGAAGCGCCTTTCATGCCACTAAAGGAGACTTTAGTGAGACCTTTCTCCCTGGAGATCAATAAAGTATATTCATTCAATTCAATTCAAAGAGACCGTCATCATAAAAACAACATGGAAACATAAGAAACTAGGGGTGGGACGGTTCACAAAATCCACGGTTCGGTTTGGTTCACGGTTTCGTGGTCCCGTTTTTTGGTATATGTTGATTGTTAGGAAAATCTATTATGTCTCGTATAGTCAGGTTAAAACTGAAAGAAAAAAGCAGTTTGACATTTGATCATTGTTGATTATTGTGACAGTCTGAGGTTAAAGTAGGTGAGATTCTGCCAGAGAGGAAACAGAGCTAATTCCAACATGTGCTTCCCTCTAAATGCAAACTGGTCCATACAGCAGACCTAGAAACTGCTGCTGGTCTGATTTTTATGGGCTACGCTGCTTCTTCTTCTTCTGGTTTCCTACTGGTGGTTGGCTTTGGGCGCAGTAGCGCCCCCTTCTGCTCTGGAGTGTAAACGCTTCCCTCTGAGAAAAAGGAGCAGCAGGAACCCAACCAACACACGCCAACCCAACCCAGACAGAACCCAACGGTTCAGACGGTTTCAGAAACCCTCCCATCCCTATAAGAAACATACAATATTTAACATTCAGAATCTGTCTGGAGCTGGTGATTCACCTCGTCTCCGGGCTGCACGGACACAGCCACCACCGTGCCGGGCATAGGAGAGCGCAGGATGCTGCTGGTGTCCTCGGGAACCTTCTCTGGCATGAAGGAGTTCAACTCTGAGGCCCGCTTCGACAGGATGCGCAGCTCAAACTAGAAGAAAGGGAGAAGATTGGTGTCATTGGCACAGCACAGCTGTAATAACCGTATTTTCTGGACTATAAGTCTGTTTTTTTTCATAGTTTGGCCGGTCGAGAGACTTATAGACTTAAACTTAGACTTAGACTTCCTTTATTGTCATTGCACAAAAACACGAGGTGAATTTGACAACGAAATGTCGATTACTTGGCTACCAGTGTGACAGCTAAGACCTTATACCATGCGCAATAAATATATATTGTATTCCATTCTATAACTAAGTGCTAAGCGTAAAGAATTATATTTATACATATGTATATTGCACTGACTTTTTGGTGAAATTTTGGTGAAATTCTTAACACATTATTAGATCATTTCACATGTTATTTTCAGACTAAACCTCCAGAGGGCGCTCTGGGCCTGAGTTGATCATTAAACATTGGTGGTAACTTCTAAAAACACCTGAGAAGAAATCTGATTCTGCAGATTAGAAGATGGCAGTAGTAAAAGATGCAGGTGGAAACGGGAATGGAGCCGCAGACAGAGAGTTTGGAGTTAGCCAGAAACTTGTGAGAGACCCAAAGCCAAAAGCGGAGGTTCCTCTGACTGAAATGAGGAGAACAAAAAGAGCCAACGGCGGCTAAAAAAGCCTGTTAAAAGGAAGTTTTTCCTTGCCTGTGTCGCCTAGTGCTTGCTCATGGTGGGAATTGTTGGGTTTCTGTAATTAACTTCAGAGTAGGTCTGACCTGCTCTGTTTGGAAAGCTGTGAGACAACTGTTGTTGTGATGTGGCGCTATATAAATGAAACTGAATTGAATTGAATTAAAAGCTAGCTGCTCACAGCTGGAGGAACCAGCTCCACACGGGTGCTGCCGGGAGAGAGCAAGATATTTCCCCCAAAATACGACTTTATATGTCTTTTCTCATCTGGGCTGCTGAGATATATTTGCTAGAAATGAGCTGTGGAGCCACAGTGCTAGCGTTAGCATTAGCATTAGCGTTAGCGTGTAGGATCCCTACTTAGTGTATAGACACAAAAAGGATCTCTACTTAGTGTATAGATACAAAAAGGATCTCTACTTAGTGTACAGATCCAAAAAGGATCTCTACTTAGTGTATAGATACATAAAGGATCTTTACTTAGTGTATAGATACTAAAAGGATCTCTACTTAGTGTATAGATACAAAAAGGATATCTACTTAGTGTATAGATCCAAAAAGGATCTCTACTTAGTGTATAGATACATAAAGGATCTCTACTTAGTGTATAGATACATAAAGGATCTTTACTTAGTGTATAGATACTAAAAGGATCTTTACTTAGTGTATAGATACTAAAAGGATCTCTACTTAGTGTATAGATACTAAAAGGATCTCTACTTAGTGTATAGACACAAAAAGGATCTCTACTTAGTGTAGATCTTTTTGTTTGTTGGGTTTGTATGGTAGTGAGTCCTCTACATGCAAAGAGCAAAGAGCAGGCCAGGTCCTGGGGAGTGGGCAGACTTTATATGTCTATTCCTTCTTTATCATGCACTTTATGGCTGGTGCAACTCGACTTATTCTGCAGAAAATACTGTCCTGGCCAGTGGCTTACCATGGAGCCCATGTACTGCAGCAGCATGACTCCGGAGGGGTCTCTGGACACGCACTGAAACACAAAACAAACAGGTTCTGTTGGTCATGTGGTCAGCTGGTCAGCTGCATCAGCCTCTGAGGAGCTTCACCTGGAGCATGGTCTCTGAGCCGTTGATGGTGAGGGGCAGCAGAGGGGAGGCCAGGTTCCACTCACCACTCACTTCCACCGTAGCTCCATCCACCTCCACCTGAGGAGACAGAAGCAGTGGACTTTAGAGACGGTCTTCACAGGAAACACAGCCAGCAGCTGGAGAGCTGAACGTCCAGAAGCTGCTGGCCTCCCAGGGATGAACTGAACCAAACCAACACACAACTCCCATTGTAAACATTTAGCCTGAACAACTGGAACAAGCTACCAGCAGAACTCAAAACAGCCCCAACTGTAAGCGCTTTTAAATCCAGGTTAAAAAGATTTCTATTCTCATGTGCTTATGGCTGAGCTTTTTTAAATATAGATATTTTTTTAATATGTTCTTTTTAACATTGTAATCTTGGTTTTGCAAAAGCACTGGAGCTGTAACAAACATATAGCTTTTTCCTTTGTTCCTGCTTTTAACTGTGTTTTAACCTTTTTTTTTTTTAATTGTTCGTTTGTTTTTTTGTTTTTTATGCCGTTTTATGCTGTTTTATGCTGTTCTTTTTTATTTAAAATGTCTCGTCTTAATGTAAAGCATATTGAGTTGCCGCTTGTTATGAATTGCGCTATACAAATAAAAATGCCTTGCCTTGCCTGAATCACTAGACGTTTGTAAAAAATCCAGCTGAGATTTTATGGGCTTTCAGAAACAGAATTACTTTATTAATCCCTTTTTTTTTTCAGTGCACCCGTTTACAGTGGGGAAAAAAAGCTAAATAAATAAATCAACAGTATTAACAAAGCTGCTCAGGGTCTAAATTACTACTACTATTACTCCATGTGTGGCTCAAATGCTCTGGTGGGCTGATGTTTGAGGCCTTAGATTGGGCATACTCTGTTGTGGGTTAGGGGAGACAGACAGCAGTTTGTGAGCTGCTGACAGTGATT